TTGCTGTAAGCAAAGCAAACTAAGACAAACAATCTAATTAAATTAGGGTATAAAGGGACTGCTTTATATTTGATACTCCAACATCCCTGCCTGCCAATCTCAAAACTCCTAGTACTATTTATGTATTTATTTATTTATTTATTTATTTATTTATTTATTGAAATACTTAAAAAGTTGATTATCTCAATTTGGGAGAGACTTTGAGAGTGTGGTACTTTTTCTTACACCTATTTCTCTCTCTTTTTATGTATACATAAAGCTATGCACCCCTTGATTGGCAATATAAAATGATTACTACATATTTAACATAAATATTTTAGATAAGATTCAGGGGGTCTCCAGGGATAAGATTTTCATAAACTAATTCTAACATGTCAAATCAAATGCACTAGACGTTGTCCTGTATCATTAATATGTCATAACTACGCTACACTGTGTGCTTTATTACTTTACTGCTGGTGAACACCATGGTCATAGAGAACCCTGAGTCAACAAGAAGTCAACATAGTATTTTGTTTACATCAGTCAACCCTCAAAATGGAAGTTGATATTTGAAAAACTAATATGATAATTGGTAGGTATACTTCTATCCCTATGTTACTTTGTTTTTGCTCTTCAGTAAAACTATTGATGTCTAGAAAAGTAGCCACTTAAACATTTGAATCAAATCACTAATACTGCATTTAAATTTGAATTCAGTAGGAAGAGTGAATAATCTCAAGACTATAGCTATTTTAGTAGAAATCAAAACTGCTACTTTACATGCATCAGTTACTGCTTCATTCACTTATGTAACTTTGAGGTATATAGCCCATAGTGATATTTCACAAATAGATTGCCACATGAGATCAAAATCTGGTGTATATATGTATGAGTGTATGTATATTGCCGATATAGTTATTTTGAAATTTGCATATGTTTTCAGCATAAAATAGATGCTCAGTAAATAATCAGTGACTGAAGATTCAATTCCTGCTCTACCAACAATGACAACACTGAAATACTCATTTAGGTAAAAATAAAGCTATGAGTTAATGTAACCCCTGCCATTAACGAGCACAGATTAGCAGGTTTGGAATGTGGTTACACGAACAAGGGCACATACATACATATAATGGAGATGTGTCCTTAAGTTCCTAAATTCATCAGGTCCTATTTTCTAATGTTTTGACTCAGACCCATTCATGGCTACCTTTCCTTTTTCCACCTTTATTTCTGGCTAAGTGGGGTAGCAACTTGAAAGCAGGGATAGGGGTGGAGGGCATAATTACTGATGGGAGAGGATTGTGGGAACTGAGTCTACTGAAAGCAGTCACGGAGTAAGGGTACATGTCCAGGCTGAACAAGTAGGCCAAGATAGGAAATCCAAACATGTGTTGATGAGACAGAGCAAGAGTCTGATGGCAGAGTTAAAAAGAGAAAGGAAAGATCTGAAGAGCTGAGAACATGCAAAAGGAGTGGCAGTCAGAGGTATTTCCTGAGGTCCTTTGATTGGGCAGGGGGAGGCCTGTTTTCCTTGAGATCTTAGGGGAGGAAGCAAGTGCCATTCTTTAGAGCCTTATTGGTATGGGGATTTATAAGTACTATCTGTAAGCAGACAACTTAGAATCCCAGTCAGGTGGTCCTGGAGAAGACAGCTAGATGTGATGAGTTCAAGACACTGTTCAATCACTTACTCATTGTATGGCTTTGGGAGATTTTTAAGCTTCAGATTCTACATCTGAGAAACCTCTCAGAGTGTTTTTAAAGATAGGGTATAGTCACATTTACAGAGCTCAAATGTGGTACCAAGTGAATGTATAACAAAGTGAGTTTCGTAGGTTATTTGAAGCTTTTGTGTACCATCCTGCTCCTCATGGGACTCATAATGGTCCCCTTTGGAGAAGTCTCCACTATTCTCTGAGTGTTTAGGCCATTTCCTCTCTAGCCACCCTACCTCATTCACCATTTAAAGGTGGCATGAATTAAGATATGAATAGATCCCTGAAATATAAGCTTTTCAACACCTTGCCTTGTGTAATGTTCAACTGAAAGAACTTAGAGACAACGTACAATAGAATTAAAGAATTAAATAGAATTTAATTAAATAGAATTAAAAGATTTTTGAATGTCAAAAGGCAGTATTTCTGAGATAAGTGATTAAAATGGAAGTAGCTAAAATATCAGCAGAAGAAAAGACATTAGAGAATTGCCAATATAAAAGTTTGAGAATGAGTTTGCAATTCTAAAAACATTGCCTTCTTGGAAAAATGATGTGTTTTGAAAGATATCTTTTCCTATATATCTTATCTATCTTATCCATCTGTCTATCAAAAGAAAAATCAGGAATGCAGGATCTGAAATACTGTGAGATCTCTCTCTCAGCAGCCACCAACTTGATGCTATCAACTTCCCTTAGGGGATTCTGTGAATTCTGTAGCATCTGCAGAAATACTGACATCTTCTTTCGAAAGATAGCAAGGGAATACATAGTCCTATCATGAAGTAATTTTTAAAAAGATTTAATTTATTTATTCATGAGATACACACACACACACAGAGAGAGAGAGAGAGAGAGAGAGAGAGAGAGAGAGAGGCAGAGACACAGGCAGAGGGAGAAGCAGGGTCCATGCAGGGAGCCCGACGTGGGACTTGATCCCAGGTCTCCAGGATCAGGCCCTGGGCTAAAGGCGGCGCTGAGCCCCCCGGGCTGCCCTCATGAAGTAATTTTAAGACATTTGCAAATATTTAAATATTTAGGTATTAATTTATTACCTTTTGAAATGAGTATATTCGGCATACATGTTAATATTTTTATCCTTGTCAGTCATGTTTCCTTGTGGCCCTTCAACAATTCAGGCCAGCTTATGAGGTTTAGTTGCTAAGGAATATGAATGCAAGAAGTCATGAACATGGTGGCTAGAAAAAATAGAACCCACAAAGAAAGAAGGAAGAGGTGAGAGAGAGAGAGAGAGAGAGAGAGAGAGAGATTTCATTACCACAAAAAGGAAAGGAGAAATATCTTCATAAAGGAAAAGGAGAAGTGAAAGAAAGGAAGATTTCAGAGGTTTTGTCTTTTTTTTTTTTTTTTTTTTTGTCCCTGGTCTCCTCAGGTTGAAGCAAGGAGGAGAACCGGAGTCTGAACATTTACTCAAGAGAGAGGGAGTTTGGGGCCCCTGGGTGGCTCAGTTGTTTAAGCGTCTGCTTTGGCTCAGGTCAGGAGCTCAGGGTCCTGGCATCGAGCCCCATGTTGGGCTCCCTGTTCAGCGGTGAGTCTGTTTCTCCCTCTCCCTCTTCAGTTACCCCTCTGCCTGCTTGTGCTTGCTCTCTTTCAAATAAATAAATATAATCTTAAAAAAAATTAAAAAAAAGAGAGGGAGTTTGCTTAAAAGAGACTGTTTTAAATACAAAAGACTAAGAAATCTTTCATTGTCAAACTTACTGTTTTTTTTTCTGTTATATAGCAAAACCATTTTAGACCAATTAAAGAAAACCAAGAAGCCACAAATTACTTCATATTCTATTTTTAATGTTAACAATCTTGATCCAATATGTTTTTATAACATTCTCATAGTTATGAGGTGATTTGGCTGCAATTCCCTTGAAAATTCCATCCCTTGGACAGATCCATTTATCAGCCTTGTGTGTTGTTCCCATACCAGGAATTCTGAGCACCAGAAGTGGTACAAACTTCACAAACATGTATTTTCTTAGTGCCTATCTAAATTTGTGATTTCTAATCCCAGCCAAATACAATAACTTTTATATTTTAATTGTGTCAGCTCCTCCTCAATTCCCTCCAGCAATGATTTCAAACCACTGGGCCACTCTTCAAATCTCTTATTCTATTGCCTTTCCTCAGCAGATAAAAATATTAACATAACTGCACTTAATTCCCAAGTCCCTCTGCGATCTAACAATTTATCCACAGTCACCTTTGTTTTATCCTACTTCCACCTGTTCAAAGGCATAAATGCCGCTCCTGTTCATGGCTCTTCCTTCAAGTCTGATCTTAGTCCTCCTAGAGCCTTACCCATCAGTAAAACCCTACCCCCTTTACAGTTGTAAGTTCTGCTCCACCCTGGCTTCTTCTTTCTGCCTATACATAGGTTCACATCTCTTTCATATTAAAATGCTGACTTCCTTGAGTTTCTAATCAACTTTCAGTAAATACTGCTGTGTCTCTCCTCAGCACAGCCCAAGTCTTCATAAGGGAATTGTACATTAGATGACATTATGTTCTTAGTTTTTACTTAATTATTTCATACCAGGAGTAAATGATCAGGAAATGATCAGGAAAGATGAAAACTTCAACAGGTAAATGATAGTGTTCAGCTTCAACTTTAATAAAAAAATAGTCATTTGCAATCATGATAAAATACCTCTTTGCCTCAATCAGATTGATGGAGATTAAGGATAATGCTACTGGTCAGGGTTTACAAGGTTCAGGAAAAGTGAAGTGTGTTTGTAATACATTCCTGAGAGCAGCATGAATTGCAACAGTATAACTATTCTGGAGAGCAAGTTGGTTATTTATCTCAAAAACCTTAACATATATGCATTCCTTTTGGCCCAATGTTTGAACTATATACAATGAATTGTGGTAGTAGTAGTAGTTTTAGTAGATGTAGTAATAATATTTGAAAAGATAAATTAGTGATGTCTAATACTAGATTTAAAATGTGTTTCAGAAAACTCATAATGAGTTGGTTTTCAGACCTTCATTATTTGATCTTTTAATAAAAAGTAAACAAACTCCACATGATCTTATTTAAAAACATGTATCTTCAATATGACATGAAAAAACCACAAGTTTTGTTAGAACCAAAATTTAATCCAAATATTCTATTTATAAAAAAACTGGGTGAAAACAGTATGAAGTTTCCTTCAAAAGCTAAAATAGAAGTACCCTACGATCCAGGAATCACGCAACTGGGTATTTACCAAAAAAATACAAAAACACTAATTCCAAGGGATACATGCACCCCTATGTTTAAATGATGATGATAATAATGGGTGATATGTGAAATTATTAAATTTCTATGTTGTGTACCTGAAACAAATATAACACTGTATGTTAACTATATGAGAATTAAAATTTTTAAAAAAGAAAAGGGGGAAATGAAACAAGACAAAAACACAAACCAAAAACAAAAACACTAGAATTTCTAAAAACTTTTAAGGAATCAGCACTGGCATATTTGAATCATATCACAATAATTTCATAAATCTATTACTTTACATATTTGGCTTTACAGATAAAATTGGAAGAACTTGACTTGGTACATAAATTCCTAATTTCTTAATCTGGCTCCACCATTTATAAGCTGTGATTTCAGCCAAGATATTTCATCTCTCATATCTTGTTTTCTCTTTTATAAAATGATGCTGTTGAAATAGCTAATGGATCTCTAAATTGTAAATTATCTCTATAATGGTCTGATTCTGTGATAAAATCAGTTTGACTAATGATTACAAAATAACATATGTAAAATATAAAAAAAACCACTTACTTGTTAGTACAATATTGACCAAAACCTCTTCCTTGGTGGGATTTTGGAAAGGTATAACAAGAATCGATTGAAGATGGAGGTATGTGGTTATTCTCTCTATGTCTATAGGCTGAGGGAATAGTCCTACTCCAGAGAGGCAAAACATCCATTCTTTAAACTGTTTAAAGATAAAATATTCGTGAGATATATATCCTAATCACATACATTTTCTTTGCAACCCTTAATAAATGTGATATGCATAAAAATCTTGGTAGATAAGAAACATTTCGGGGTGCCTGGGTGGCTCAGGGAGTTAATTCTTGATTTTGGCTCAGGTTGTGATCTCAGGGTCATGAGATCAAGCCCCATGTTAGGCTCCATTCAGTGGGGAGTCTGCTTCTCTCCCTCTCTCCCTTTGCCTCTCCTCCTTGGTCTCTCTAAAATAAATAAATGGATCTTTATTTAAAAAATAATCTGTTGTTAATATTTAATATGCATTGTTTTATATTTTTTTCTTTTCTGAATTCCTTTTGATTTTATTGAATAGTCAATGTATTTCTGCACTACAAAAAGGGGCAAAAGACCAATACTCGGGCAGCCCAGGTGGCTCAGCGGTTTAGTGCTGCCATCAGCCTAGAGCCTGATCCTGGAGACCCGGGATCGAGTCCCACGTCGGGTTCCCTGCATGGAGCCTGCTTCTCCCTCTGCCTGTGTCTCTGCTTCTCTCTCTCTGTCCCTCATGAATAAATAAATAAAATCTTAAAAAAAAGAGAGAATACTCAAATATTAAGCATATTTCTATGCTTAAAAGGTTATTTATAGCAACATAAAAGAGAAATCTTTATGAAAACCTTGCATTTCTGCTCAAGGTTTTTTAAGAAATCAGTTTGCCTAGCGAACCGGATACTAAACACTACATGAAGTTCCCAAAATTTTAGGGTGAATTTCAAATGAAATTCAGGTAGTTATCACATGAAGGAAAAGATGGTGAGGCACAGATTGAAGTCCCACTAAAAGGAAGTGCACAACTGCATGCCATTCTATTTATCCCTACTGTCTAGTACAGTGTATGTTCCGCTATGACAGGAAAGGAAAAAATGACTCAAAAATGATGTGAAGGAGATTGCATGTAGCCATTGTTCTTATTTGAGCTTCACAAACCTGCAAAGCACTATTTGAAAATGTTCCTTTGTGTTCATTTAGAATAAAAGTCCCAAGAGTACAACTGACTGTGACTCAGTTCTGCACTGAACACTGCTAATGTTACAGATGAATAAAGAGATCACAAAATGAAAACCAACAAACAATAACCTAGCCTATAACCTCTTAAACTACATCAATGTGTCCAGGCTGAAACTCCAACAAAAGAGGAAAATTTTTAAGATCATTTCAAACTAGGACAGATGGTGACAGTAAATCCATAAAATGCTGTCTCGGTATAGGAAGGATTAAAGGTAAGTTTTATCTGCATAGATCTTCAAATGATTGCATTACTTTTAGTTAGAGATTCTACTAGCAGAATACAAGTACACTATATTTTCACTTACAATGTCCTACCCTGATTCCGCACAATTGAATGACTAGAATCAAGCATCAGAGCTCGATTATATTAACAACTGTTCTACACAAGTTACTTGCTTTTTTGGCTACTTAATAAAAATCAATCCTGGATAACAGAAATTAAGTTATTTTAAACCACTGAGAATGAGCCAAACTACAAAAACGAGAAGGTCATGTTTTCACATCTCGCCAAGTGGCCTAGAATAGTGTAGCTTCTAAACTAAGCTACATCCCACCATTATTGAACACTAGTATCCAACAACTACCCTGGCATTGCTTAAATTATGCCATTAGGTTCAGAGAGGGAAATTAAAAAGTATCCAAATGAACATGGCCATTTAAAAAAAAGTAACATTTTTAGCTTATCTTTATCTCAAACTTTTTTGAAAAAAGACACAGCACCACCTTAGAGACCCAATTCTAGGGGTGCCTGAATGGCTCAGTTGGTTAAGCATCTGACTCTTGATTTTGGCTCAGGTCATGAGGCTCCACACTCAGCAGGGAGTCCGCTTGAGATTCTTTCCTTCTCCTTCTGCTCCCTCCTGCATACTTTCCTCTCTCTCTGCCTCTCCCTCCCCCCCCCAACTAACTAACTAACTAACTAACTAACTAACTAAATAAATAAATAAATAAATCTTTAGAAAAAAAGATCTGCCTTGTTAAAATTATTTTTGTAGAAGGAAATAATCTTCACTATACTTTCCCTCTTCTGTATGAAAAGGATAATTATTTTTCATTCTTTAGTATTTTTGAGAATCAAGCATACTTCCAGAGCATTGCTTCAGTTTACATAAAAGTTAGTCATCATGTAGGAAATTTAATAGCCTAAATTTCTTCTTCTGAAGGTAAATTACACATGTTTTAGAAAAGAGGATACTCCAGTCACCCACAGGTCTTGCACTGACATGGGGTCCCCTGGATTATATTTTATTCCCCTGCCTCTCAGGAAATTTTTGTAAGTTCCTTGGTGTCCCAAAGGATTTAAAGCACATTTTAAAGGTTTTGTAAGCTCCTTGGTGTCCCATAGGATTTAAAGAACATTTCTCCACTTACTCCCTCATCATTAACACTTAAAGAAATAAAAAATAATAATAACTGTCAAAAGTCATGTAAAAATTTATTAGCAGTAAGAGATTTATAATCACTTAGCAATCTGCAGGTAGCTCCAAAAACAGTCAAGAAGACAGGTTGAAGTCACATGTTCTGAGTTCAGGTCTGAGTTAATCATCTTACTAGCTGCCTGACTTTAATTTCTTTGTTTCCTAATGCATAAAACAAGATTGATAATACTTCTACCATAGGACTGTGGTGAGAATGAGTTGATATAATTCTTTGAATGGCATGTAGCAAGTTAAGAGATGCTTAAAAATTATTAAGCAAAATTATTATTGTTTTATTATTATTATTTTTAAAGATTTTATTTATTTGAAAGAGAGAGAGAGAGCAAGCGAGTGGGATAAGGGGCAAAGGGAGAGAATCTCAAGCAGACTCTGCACTGAGCACGTAGCCCAACATGGGGCTTGATCTCACGACCCTGAGAACTTGACCTGAGCTGAAATTAAGAACCAGATGCTTGGGACCCCTGGATGGCACAGTGGTTGAGCATCTGCCTTCAGCTCAGGGTGTGATCCCGAGGTCTAGGGTTCAAGTCGGGCTTCCTTCATGGAGCCTGCCTCACCCTCTGCCTATGTCTCTGCCTCTCTCTCTCTGTGCTTCTTATGAATAAATAAATAAAATCTTAAAGAAAAAAGAGTTGGACGCTTAACTGACTGAGTCACCCAGGTGCCCTTTAAGTCTTCTTGCTTCTCAAAATTTATTATTAATCAGTAAAACTGTGTAGATGAAATAGAATGAAAAAATAATACAATATTTGCAAGATTACAATTTGTATAGTTTTATATTTAAGTTCATGTAAATATGACAGAATATTAACATAAATGCCAACAAAATGGCATTTCCATGAAAATACCTGTATTTCAAATCTCGTAGTACATTCTCCTTCATCCAAGTAATCTAAGAATTTAAAAATGCCTTCTTTAGATGCCTCCACGTGCACCATATATACTGTATTTCCAAAAGTTCATTTAATTAATACTTTACAATGAACTTATTTTGCTGGCAAAGTACGTTAAGTGAATGAATTAGTTTTACTTATTCATTGACTATGAAATTTAATGAACTTGACTTGGTCCAAGAATAGTCTATCATACCTGAGCACAGTGGAAGATGATAGAAGCTTGATGACCAGTTCTTCCAAGAGCTGAAGGAAAAAAGTGAACAGATACTTCTTTGCTCGAGTGAGGAGGTAAGGTCAGCTGCATAAATTCAGAGAGGAAAAAAATAATCAATGCTTTTGTTTGAGTCAGGATCTTTGCATGCTAGGTAAATGCCAGGTTGATTTTCGTGTGAGTAGTGTGTTGCCTTGTACGTGTTACCCGTTCTTAGTAGGCCTGTTTGGCAAATATTGGTGTAATGGCCATGGTAAACAGTGTTTAGTAGTATTTACTCCATGTTCTTTCCCCAGACAATGACCACATGGAGTTAACATCAACAGTTGTAGAATGATAAAATAAAAAGGCATATGTCTGAAAATAAGTTTATTTTTTTCACTCCTTTATTTTTCCAAATAACTTTTGAAAATATAAAATTGCAATATAGCAGTGCTGTTCAAATCCTTGTAGAATATAGCACTTAGTGCTTAATAATTATGCTCTGACAATGACCATGAAATACAAATACAACTTAATGTTATATTTCGAACAGTCACTCTCTTACTATATATATGTGTGGCTTATCTACAGCAAATATTTTTATCTTAAGCTGGCTCTCCCTCTGATAGTTAATAACTAAGTTTATGCACACATAAGGAATATACATTAATTTCAATATCAACCTTAGCAAAAAAAGAAGAAAAGTTGTATTTCATATATTCTTTCAATTAAGCAAATATAAAACAAGTTTTTTCTATATCTATATATATATATATGTAAAAGGAAATCATGTATTACATTAGAAAAACCAAATACTACTACATAAACTTGGATTTTAATTTTAGTTCTACCACTTACTAACTACATGGTTTAAATAATTTTAGCTTCTCTGACCTCAAATTCCTCTTCCATAAATATATGTCAGAAGCATGTGGTGCAGACTGAGGTAGTGTGTATAACCAAATAGTAACTAAAAAAAATTCCTTTATTTTCACCTAAAATTCACTGAAAAATACCATGGTTTCAAGGAAAGAAAGGTAAGCGCTACTGGCTGGAATATATCTGCAGCAAATATACTGGTTTAGTGTAACGGGATATAGATAATATGCTAAATATAGGATCGTTTTGAAACTTACAAACATTTAATTACAAGCAAATGTTATCATAATAACCAATTCCAATATGTGATTTTACACTGGATCTTAGTTGAAGAGAGAAAGATTATTGGGATAGCTGAGTAAACTTAAATTTGGACAGGATACTAGATGGTGTGGGAGATTAATTATGCTATTAAGAAATATAATCTGAAGTATTTAGTGTTGAAGTCGCATGATGCCCACAACTTACCTTCAGACTGAACAGTAAGAAATGTAAGAGAAAGAAGAAAGAGAATAATTTAGCAAATCATTAACGTAAGAACCAAGGTAGAAGGTAGAAGGTTTGTGCATTGTATTATTCTTTTAATTTCTGCATCTGTTTGAAATTTTTCATAGTATATAGTTGAGGGGAAGCAAGTTTTTTATATCATTTGCCTGGATAATGTTTATGCTTACTTATTGTAGCATTTATGAGTAATCATCAATATTTTAAAATCCTTACTTGCATAAACACGAATTCTATGCAACAAAACCAAGAATAAAATTATATATGCATGTGTGTGTATATATATAATCTTTCTATTTATTATCATTACCATTAATGTGTGCTATTTGTTCTATAATAGTATTTTTCTCATCTATAAATTTATTTTTGAGCTGTTTCCCAATATTCAAGTTAAGTGCATATTCAGGGCTCAAAAATATGTGATAAATGTATAAAACAACAGATGGATTAGAAACCACAGTTAAAATGTTGAAGTAGAGTCTATATTCTTCATTATGTAATATAAAGTGACACCTGCAATATACTACATTTGTTTTCCCTTAGACCACAGTTTATATTCTTCTGTAAAAGTGGTGATATAAAGGACATAAAAACACCACTTTCTAATGAGGAATTTCAGTTATTTGTAAACTATATCCTGACCACCATATTCTGTTTAATTTATGGAAAATACAGTGTTAATAACATGCATGTGTGCACAGTTTAGTATAGTTATTCTAAGATTAAATTATATATACAATTTTAGCTATATAATATTTAGTGATATCTAATTTGACACATTATGGAAGTTAAGAACTAATTTCATATCAAGCTATTATTAATTTGTAACCAGTATCATAGGTATTAAGATACAAATGAAATCACATTGTAGATTTCTTAAACAATCTTTAAACAGCAAATAATAAAAGCTTTTTTTAAAATGCTATATCTATTTACTAGGGCTTCATGATTTACTGTGAGATCCTCTGAAGAAAATAATCTATCACAATTATTTTGAAGCTTATCCAAAAACATGGTTTTGGTATTCACTGTACATATTTGGTATCATTTGCTTGGAAACAAAGATATTGATGTTAAACCTTCAGATCTTGTTTAGTTACTTGTGGGAGGAGAAAAGTGATTGGGGCCCACTGACTGGTTCTAGTGTCTGCTAGGGTTCAAGGAATGAGAAATGGGGTAGAGAACGGAAAGAGGGTCAGAGCTGTTCATTGTTTGGAAGTAGGGGACGGGTGATGGGCAGGAACTCATGAAGGGCTGGAAGGAACTGGCCTCTTGGGACCCTGAAAACATAGAAGATTCCTGAGTCAATATCACATTCAAATCTGATTATGAAAATGGTCAGAAATACAGCACAACTAGTTTATTTAGAGTTTAGTGATAATGAGTATGACACTAGCATATAGAATTCTAAAAATTTAGATGGACATGATTTGAGTTTTTTGATCAATTAAAATTGTGGGAGGGAGATATATAGTATATAAATTCTATTTTTAAATTTTAAGCATTTGAAACCTTATTAATAAATCAAATGATACTTATAGTGTCCCAAAATCAGTATTGCAAAATGCTTCTAGTAGTGGTAGGTTACTCAACTTTCCAAATATACTTACTGGTGATTTGTTCATATCCAAGACAAAATTTTCAGGATTAGTGTTTGTTGCTCGCAATTCTAAAGTCTCGTGTGTAGGATTAACTAAAGGAATGATCTGAGTGACATACCTGGAAGGAAAAATGAAGTTAGTAAACTTGTTCATAAACTTGTTCAGTGATAATTTTATAAACTTGATGAGTATTATGGGTTGAGCTGCATACCCAAAAAAGATATATTTAAGTTCTAACTCCTAATACCTCAGAATGTGACCTTATTTGGAAATAGGGTCACTGCAGATGTAATTAGTTAAAATGTGATCCTACTGGAGTAGGGTGGCCCTTAATCCATTATGACTGGGGTCCTTATAAGAAAATGATGTGAAGACACATGAGAAGATAGCCATATAGTAATGGAGGTGGAGACTGGAATGATGCACTTCTAAGTTAAGAAATACCAAGGATTGCTGGCAAGCACTAGAAGCCACAGGAGGAAAGGAAGGATTTTCCTTTATTGGTTTCAGAGGGAATATGGTCCTGCTGAAAACTTGACTTCAAATTTCTAGCCTCCAGGACTGTGAGACAATACATTTATGTTGTTTTAATCCACCCAGTGTGTGGCATTTGTTATGACAGGTCTAGGAAACTAATACAATGACTTGTATGAGTTTCAAAATAAGAATAATCATGGATGAACTAATGACATTTTGCTAAATTTGTCCTTGATTTTCTATTTCTGAGACAAAATGTTACTCTACACTGGGCAATGGAATATATCCCAGTTTTAGGAGCAATATTTACTCATCATTATTTTATAACTGTTAAATTTAGGCAAAAAAGTTAACATAGTCTAGAAATAATAACAATGAGTAATAAATTCACAAAGTTCTGTTCTTTACATTGAAAAGATCCAAATCAATGATGAGTAAATACTGAAAAAAATGTGGCTGGTATTTTTGCTCAAAGCAAAGGATAATTAAGAGGGTTCATAATTCTCACTCAACCACCATTTCTAACACCTTTTGATGTATAGCATGAAAACTGTCATTCTGCAGAAATGCAAAACAAAACCACACTGAGATACCAACTCACACCTGTTAGGATGGCTGTCATTTAAAAAAATAAGTGTTGGCAAGGACATGCAGAAAATGGAACACTGGTATACCACTGATGGGAATGTAAATTGGTACAGTGACTATGGCAAACAACAGGAGTTCCGCAAAAAATTAAAAAAATAAAACTACCATACGATCCAACAATTCCACTATTGAATATATATCCAAAATAAATGAAATCAGTATCTTGAAGAGATAAGTGTGCTCCCATGTTAATTGCAGCATTATTCACAATTGCCAAGATATGGAAATAATCTAAATATTCTTCCACAGATGAATGGATAAATAAAATGTGAAATATACAATAGACTATTACTCAAACTCAAAAAAGAAGGAAATCCTGACATTTGCAACAATATGGATGAACCTAGAGGACATTATGTTAAAGGAAATAAGTCAGACAAAGAAAGACAAATACTGTGTGATCTCATTTATATATGGAATCTAAAAAAGTGAAAAATAGTGTAAGTTCTATGGGAATTAAAATCAATTTCATTGCAAAGTTTAGTATAACTTGATGACATTTGAAATGGGCAAAGATACAAAAAGTAAGAGGTGTATGTAGACTGTGATTGCCAGTGGACCAAGAAGCAAAATATATAAACTAAAGAGGTACTTGATTCATTGTTCATCCAGAAGTTTTTCAATTGAATCAAATCTAATAAACCTTCTATTTTTTTGCTAGTTTTCCTAATAATGAGAAATGAAGTTTGTATTTACAGATGTGTATCCTGAGGATTGTTGATGCACATATTTATTACTTAGGGACAAAATTAAATTTCTTGAGTTTAAAATGTTGTTATACCTTTTTCTTGGGTTCCTTATTTCTAAAGAGTCACAATAAAATATTTTTTCATCAAGACTATTTCAAACTTGTTAATATAGACTAACAAAGGACAATGAAATAATATTACCTGTCAAATCAACGAAAAACAAGAAGGTAATTTAAAAAATATATATATATATATTTATTTAGAGAAAGAGAGAGAGTGTGTGTACAAGTGGAAGGAGGGGTAGAGGGAGAGAGAAGTATCCTGAAGCAGACTCCCTGAGAGCACAGAGCCCCATCTGGGGCTTCATCCCAGGATTCTGAGATCATGACTTGACCCAAAATCAGAGTCAGATGTTTAACCAACTGAGGCCCCCAGATGCACCAAGAAGGTAATTTTAATGTGAACCAAGTGGTAGCACCTTAAAAACCATTTCCAGGATGAAGTGTATGTGTGAACTCTATTACTTTTTCAATTTCTTATGAGTCTTAAGCTCTTTCAAAATAAAAAGACACTAAAAAAAAAAAAAGCCAGTGCCAAGGTATCTGGGTGGCTCAGTGAGTCAAGCGTCTGACTCTTGATTTTGGCTCAGGTCATGATCTCAGGATTGTGGGATTAAGCCCCACATCCAGGTCTGTGCTGAGTCGAGAGTCTGCTTGAGATTCTATCTCCCGCTCTCTCTGACCCTCCTCTCACTTGTGCTCTCTCTCTAAATAGATAAATAAAATCTTGAAAAAAAAGTGTCAAATGCTTGTTATGAGAAAATATCATGAACCAGTGAGAAGAATGCAGTTACCATAAAATGGTAAAACAAAAAATGCCTCCAATATCTAAAGGTTCCTGGGGTGACTGAATTCAATTAATTTCATTTTGCAAATTATTTAATAAGTGACTATTATAATTCTGAAATTCATTAATAACAATCTGTAAGGCAAATCATAGATTATAATTAAGGCTGTTTGATTCAAAAGTGCAGAGTCCTACTATTTACTCCACTTACGCTTGACATAAACCTAGGAACAACTAAATAATGTATCTCCAACATGAATATTTCCACTGTTCTCCAGGCTTTGTCTCGAATTTCCTACACATCATTCAAATGTTTAATAGAAACTTCAAATTTACAAGTCCCAAGCTGAGCTCTTGATCCCCTACCCTCAAACCAGCTTTCCTTAGTCTTCTCTGTCTCAGTTAATGTCACATCTTGAGTTCCAAGTGTTCAGATAAAAAACTTCAGTGTCATCCATGCCCTGCTGTTTTCCTTATGCCTTGAATATTAGCAGTCAGCAAAACTCATTAGCTCTCCTTTCAAAAATAAACCATAACTGAACACTTCTCTCCACACTCACTGGCAATCCTCTGGTCCAAGCTGCTATCATCCTGGTCCTGAGTTAGCGTAAGGACCTCCTAACTGATGTTTCTCTCACATCACATACAGATACCAATTCCAGGTACTCTGTGGACCTAAATATGAGATGTATAGACAGTATATTTTTTGAGAAATGAAAAGAAGTTCTTAATGTTGTTGGTGTATGGAGGAACTGGAGAAAACAAAAAAGTTGATAAACTACATTAAATTAAGAATTTAATTTTTAAGAATTTAATGTCATTAAAAGACTCTATTAAGAGACTGAAAAGGTAATTCATAAGATAAGGTATTGGCAACATATATAACCCATAAAGGTTTGTATCTAATATATACAAAGAACTACAAGATATAAAGGAAAATATAGACAAACTAATAGTAAAATGGTCAAGGGACATGAACAAGAACTTCAAAAAAGCCTATATCAAAATGGATGATAAACACATGCAGGTGCTCAACCTCATTAGTCATGAGGGAAATGTAAATTAAAAGTACACTGATGTGCGTGCGCCTGGCTGGTTCTGTCAGAGAAGTGTGCAACTCTTGATCTCAGGATTGTGAGTTTGAACCCCATGTTGAGTGTAGAGATTACTCAAAAACAAAATCTGAAGGTGGCTCAGTCAGTTAGGTGTCTGACTCTTGATTTAAGTTCAGGTCACAGTCTCAGGGTTGTGAGATCAAGCTCTGGGCTCGGGTTCTAGGCTCAATGTAGAGTCTGCTGAGATTCTCTCTCTTGGTCTCCCTCTGCCCCTATCCTATTCTCTCTCTCTCTCTCTCTCTCTCTCTCTCATAAATAAATAAATAAATAAATAAATAAATAAATAAATAAATATTTTAAAACATCTTAAAAATAAAAGTACATTGACGTACTACTTTACACACATCACAATGGTTAGAGTTAGTCTTAAAATACCATGTTCTTGAGGATGTGAAGCAACTGCAATTCATATATGGCCAGTTGAATGCTCATAAGCACAACCTATTTTGAACTCTTTGTTGTTATCCACTAAATTAAAGTGATTGCATTCTTATGTTTGTACCCAATAGAAACAAGCATTAAATGTGCAACAAAAGCATGTACAATGTTATAAACAACATGTTTCATTATACAACAAACTGGGGAAAAAAAACCCAAGCCCATCAATAAAAAAAAAAAAAGGAATTTTTTTGCAGTTATTAAAAAAAAAATAAAAAGAAGAAGAATGGTACATGAATGGGTCGGTAAGTCCTGACTATCATTTTAGAGCCTCCCATTTAAATATGAGTGAGGGGTGTCTGGGTGGCTTGATGGTTTAAGCATCCAACTCTTGATTTTGGCTCAGGTCACAATCTCAGGGGCATGAGACCAAGCCCCACATTGGGTTCCATAATCAGCAGGGAGTCTTCCTGAGTTTCTCTCTCCCTCTGCCCCTCCTTCATGCCCCCTCATACACTCTCTCTATATATATATTAAATAAATAAATCTTTAAATATGAGCAAAACAAGTATCAGGAAAGTTTTGAATGGGGAAAAAAGGAGAACAAAATTTATTTATTTTTATTTATTTATTTTTAAGATTTTATTTATTTATTCATGGGAGACACAGAGAGAAGCAGAGACATAGGCAGAGGGAGCAGCAGGGTCCTCATGGGGAGCCTGATGCAGGACTTGATCTCAGGACCCCAGGATCACCACCTAAGTCGAAGGCAAATGCTCAACCACTGAGCCACCCAGGAGTCCCAGAAGAACAACATTTATGATTAAAGACAAAGACCATGACCATTTAAAATGAAATGATATCTTAAGCATATCAGTAAAAATATTATCAACATGGGATAAGAACAGATTGTTATGATTTAAAAACCAAAACAAAAACATGTAAAAGAAACACCCAAACAACAACAAAAATGGTCTTGGACGTTGATAGCAGACATGAAAATTCAACAGAAAGCATGGAAAATAAATTCAGGTAAATGTATCTGAATGCAAAAGCACAAATGTTGGTAATAAAGGCCAAAGAATAAGAAAATTAAAATAGCCTCCACATTCTAAAACAAAAACATGGATGTTGTAGGAAGAGAGAAAACAGAGAGAGAGCATATTTTGAGACTTCCAGAAACTGAAAGTCATGTGTTTCCATATTGAAAGAGACCCCAACTACCTAGAAAAATGTATGAAAATAGAGCCACACCAATTCCTTAAAAATTTTAAAGACACTGGCTGTGCAAACTTCCAAAGAGGATAAGGTTCCAGAATACAACTGGTTAAAAATGTAGTTACTATGAAACATCTATTAATATTATGCAACTTTTAATTATATACAGTATGACTTAGATAAAAAGAAATTATGCTTTAGAACAACCTGACCAAAAGTAACAAGAACTTAAAAAGAAAGAGAAAAGCACCTTTTAGTGGAGTGAAAACAAACCATCATTATAAAACCGGTTGTGCTAAGTATGTTCACATAAGTGTATCACATTTGTTAACAATTCTATATATACATAATTTTCATACATTAATGAATTTTTAAAACAAGAAAAAATATAAAACTAGAAATAAGTTTGTTAATAAGGTAAAGCAGACACTGCTAGCACCCTTCCCAGTTCCCCTAGAAGATTTTTACCAGTTCTCTACCATCAGACCCCAACGTCTACATGCTTGCTGTTCATCTTCCATCTGAGACTTTCAGATGGTCACCCTTGAGTCCTGCTGCCTCCTCAACTGTACAAACAGTAGAGGTTTATACCTCTTCCCAAGGAAGCGTATAGTGATCAGTATGAGAATTCAAAAGCTGAGCATCGTTGCACCAAGACAGGGCAAACTCTGAGATGTGATTTATGCTAGAGCTCTCTGCAGGATCAGGTAGTCTGGGGCTGTCCCTGCAATCACATCCTTGCTTGGTTTCTTCCCTTTTCTCATCCTGCTTCCCCTATCTCTTACTGATTGTTCTTAATGGGACCACTTCCTTAATAAATTACTTGCTACAGATTTATTTGGCTACAGATCTGGCCCTGGGAGAATTCAACATTCTTCTGGAGAGCTAAGGGAGAGAGATTAACAAAGAGGTACTGATTTACCCACTGGTGCACGTGCTCTTTAAAAGTAGGGATTGTGGGGACGCCTGGGTGATTCAGTTGGTTTAGCGTACAACTCTTGGTTTCAGCTTAGGTCATGGTCTCAGGGTCTTGAGATGGAGCCTCGAGAATAAAGATAAAAGTGGGAATTGTGACTCAGTACCACTATGTATCAGCATCAAACCTGGTACCAGACATGTAATAAGAGCTCAATGATGCAAATATAAATGGTCATAACTCCAGGGCACATGGTATTAGCCAAGTGACCAAGTATTCTCCACTGTCCATTGCTGACCCCCTGCTTTGCCTTGACCAAACTTTAGTCAGTCTCCTATGTTTCCTATGGGCCCTTGAGCTTTGCTTGTCCCCAAGCCTAAGCAAGCACAAAGCATAACAGGCCTCCTTCCTTTGGCTTCCTCTGGGAATCGGCTTAGCATAGGGCAAGGCTTTCCCCATCAGTGCCCACCAGTCATTTTCCTTTCCTTGTCTGGCTTTCTCTCCAAACAGTCTGCTTATCTCTTCTTGTCCCACCTTTAACTTCTGTTTGATTTTGAGACGCTTGCAGATTGTTGAGATCAGTGTTCTCCAACTATTTCAATAGTTCCTTTCTCTCCCTTGTTAACAATCATTTTGAAGAAGAGCCTCTCCTTACTAAGTCCTAATTTGTTTTCCTTTCACATAAGTTTTCCATGGGGTAGTTTAAATGTCAAAACTTCCCTGGAAAAGAAAATTAATTGCTCAAAATATATTTATGTCTTCCCAAGAAAGATTAAGGGGATTATAACAATATTCTTTTAGATAACGTTTTTTCCTTCCACAAAATAACTTTATCCATACTTACTTTCCAATGTCACATTGCATTTCTGGTATTGTGGTTGGTTTTGGTAATTCAGTAGTTAATCTCAGTAAATACCAGAACTCTAGAGCCATATCAGGCTGGAAAATAACGCTGGTGGAGAGAAATATACAAAATCCTGTCAGTGGTTTTAGTTTGTGTAATAAAGTTGACAGAAAAAAAAATCCTAAATAGGTAGTTTCAAATGCAATATTTGAAAACTTCTCTGTGATCCATTCTATTCTTATTGGAGATATATTTAAATTTTTTTCATTTTTGGTGAGAAGATCACTTCATTATTAGAAAAACTGTCATCTTTAATATCTGTTTAATAAATGCCTGTTGAATGAATGAAAAATATTTAAACGTTAATGAATTCAAATGTATTGCAGGAGCAAGAACAAGAAAATTCCTGCTTTCTGTGATTAAATCCAACTCAGTTTGTTGAATTAGATACATGTATATTTTCATGTGAAGGCTATCAAGTGACAGGCAACTCTGGAGAGCTTTATTATCAGCAAATGCTTGCCTTTGGGGGAAATAGAGACAGAACCTGTGACAGTCTAAAAGTGTAACTGGAAAAAATAAACAAACGAAAGTACAGCCGGGCTAGTAGCTCTGTCATCTTTTATTTAAGTAGACTTGAACAAGTCACTTAAAATAATTTAGAAGGCTTCATTTCAAAGTATCAACAATAAAATATAATGCCACACTAAAACCATACCTTTCATCTCTACAGCCTGTAGTTGCTGGAGTATACTGTACCACATAGCTGATACATTCTAGCGGATACAGTATAAATTGCTTGAGTCCATTAAGGGCAGCAGTGGATAATTGCACATCTAAGTGAATCATTGTCTCTTTGGGATTCGAGAGAGGTATTTCAATGCAAATGGTCTCCTAGAATTACAGAACAAATATATAATCAGCTCTTAGTGTCAGCATAGAGTGAATCATTGTTCTTTAAAGGAAATGCAAAGAAAACTTTTATGCAACATAAGGCCATTTGTTTTATTTTTCTCCTTGATCCGCTATTGAATATATCTCACTCACTTTTAATCTCTTACATGTTTTCCTTGACTAATCTTGGTAAATGATAATGCTATTTTTTCAACAACAAATACTCCAAGACATTCATCTAGCTAAATGGTAAGGAAAGTGTAAAATTACATTTGAAATATAGTTTTCTTCAGTACTATTGCCATTTATCAATGTTTTCTCTAGCTGTGGTACTCAAACTTTAGCATGGCATAGGAATTATTTGCAGAGGTTGCTAAAACATAGATTACTGGCCCCCTGCCCCAAAGATTCTGATTCAGGGGAGCCCTGGGTGGCACAGCGGTTTGGCGCCTGCCTTTGGCCCAGGGCGCGATTCTGGAGACCCCGGATCGAATCCCACGTCGGGCTCCCGGTGCATGGAGCCTGCTTCTCCCTCTTCCTATGTCTCTGCCTCTCTCTCTCTCTCTCTCTCTCTCTGTGTGACTATCATAAAATAAATAAAAATTATAAAAAAAAAGATTCTGATTCAGTAGCTCTGAGATGGGGCCTGAAAATACATATTTCTAAAAAGTTCTGTCAATGCAGAGGACATACTTCAAGTATCTCTGCACATCAGCAACAAATACTAGGGAAAATCTGAACTAAGAAGACAAATTATGTTGATAATTCAACTACCTTCTTGTTTAGATTCCTTCTTTCCATACTGGTTTCTCCTGTCCTGCCTCCCTAGGTACATCCACTCAGCCCTGGAAGACACTCTTCAAGTTCCAAGACATTTCTTGATCCCCATTCTGACCTATTCTGGCTAACGGCTTATGTTTCATCCCATTACAGCCATGATCTCCACTATAGTAAAAGTCATTAGTTAAAACAAAAGTGTTGAAGGTGATTGATAGGACATATCTCAATCTTGAACAAAGATGAGTTGTCTGTAATGCCTTAACCTAACAAAATAGAAAATATTGGACATTTCAATCATATTTCAAAGCTTGGTAATGAATGTACTTTAGGACTTGGAGGTATTTTGAAACTTAACACATTAGAGGAATGACAAAAACAACCTTGATACTGAGCTGGTAGGGACAGGCGGTGATGAAGAAAGAGTTATTCACAATACATATCTTCAAGATACAGCTTCACCCACGGAATGAATGTTTGCTTGATTACAGATATATAAATAATTGAGTGGATAAATGTTACATTTTAGGGGAATGGAAACAGCATTGAGTGTGGTGAACAACATCTGGTAAGGAAAGACGAAAATCAAGAATATATACAAATTTACAATTAAACTGGGATATCATATGTTATAAATCAGATTTAATTATAAATGCATTGGAAAATGGCCATCTACAATAGTTTCAGGAGATACAAGAATCATGGATTTCTAAAATACATGGGCATTTAAATTGCTATAGTAAAATAACCAATGCTCATAATTATAAAGAAGGAAAATAAAAATATAAAATGAAAAAAAAAACCAATAATTACATTATGTCACAGAATTTATCACTTCCTAGGCAATCTGAAGTATTTCATGAGACTGTTAGAGAATTTAGCCTCCTAGGAATTTTCTAAGGGTCTAACAGATCAACAACTAAACCATATGCCAGGATAACAAATACCAACAACCATATATTGGTCTAGAAACTTTGCCCAGGTCTTTAGACAGAAAACCAAAATGAGATATCTTTGGACTAGACATTTGTCCTAGTCTATATTACTTGGATATTTCTCAGAGAAGGTCAGTGTCAGTTTAAAACAATGCTGTGGCTTATTCTTCACAGAAGTAAAAAAATACTAGGATCTGAACCAGTGATTTTCAAAATGTTTTCATCACAACCTAGAGTAATTCATTTTATATCATGACCTGGCTCACATACACACTGGAAAAAAAAAAAGATTCACAAAACAATTCCTACTCTTCTCACATGTGACATTCTCTGATACTTTCTATTCTCTTTTATTCTATTCTATTTCTTAAAAAAAATAATAATAATGCTAGTTTTGACCCACTCACGTTTTTGAAACCTATACTTTGAAAAACTCTGGTCTAAAGAGGAATGAAGTACTGGAATATCGAATTGCTTTATGTCTTATCACATGCAGACTTTGAACAAAAGGTAAAACAAAACCACTTTCAATCTACTGCTATCTCTGTGAACTACAAGTCATTTAACAGAAGCAGGCCCTAGTGTTACAAATGTGTTAGGACATTCTACGGTTGGCCGAATCTTAAGAGATGAAAATGGGGATGGCAGCTCTGGGGCACTTGTGTAACAACTCCTGTTTGACACATCTGTGGCAAATGTCACTACTTGATCACTTCACTCTTACCCAGTATGTCTGGACACTCCCTCAAAATTGAGCAGCCTTCCAGAGAGCAATCGTTAATTGCTTCCAACTACTTGCACTAAGCAGTACTGCAATCTCTAAGGAAAGCCTGCAATCAAATTCTCTGGGGTCTCAAAACCAACAATAGACTCAATAGAAATGAATGATTCATTACAGTAAAAAGCTTTAAATTCCCAATTAATTAAGAGTGTGGTATTTCTAGTCTGGTAAAATATATGTCAATTTTAGTTACAATATTATAAAAAACAATTTCTAACTTTCATTATAATTTGAATATTTAAAAAAATAATTTGAATATTTTTTCAAGTTTAAATAGATTAAAAACTCCTAAATTACACCTTTAAAATATAGTATTGTATGAATAATCTCTTTTAAATATACATCTGCCAAAATACTGTCAAAATTAATTTAGACAAGATTAATTTTCTAACTATATTTCTTAAGGCCATAAAAATTAGATATTTCTTTTTTTTTAGATATTTCTTTAAATATTTCATGTATTCAATAAGAGAAGAGATTTTTGTCATTCATGATTTGATGAGATGATCCAAATTTGTAAGTTTATTCTTGAAATACCTCCTTTGTGTTAGCTATATTCTCCAAAAATACAGAACTACTTTCAACACATGAAGCAGAATGTATAAAGAAGTCATCTGCAAAGATGGCCAATAGTCTTATTGTCTAAGGCATTCTGTACCCCCCATTCCATTTTATGACAAATAACTCTCACTCAATAAGAAGTATAAAGCCTGCTGAATTTCTGTGACTATTTTCTTCATATAAAAGGTGTGAAATATTTGGCTAGTGCGTGTGTCTTGCCAATGGTATATTCTTCCACTTTGATGGGTGATTTTTTAAGGTTTTTTAAAATCAAATGTACATCTATTTGGACTGATTTTGGTTTTGGAAATTCAAGTGAAACAGTGACTATACACAGTGACTTCAAAAATTGTCTTTTTTCTTTACATGGCCTCCTTTGGGTGCAATGACACAGTATTCTTTTATAAGGTGTCCAGTATTTTTCTCTGGATTGTACTGAAGGAATATTTTAGCTAACATAATGACTGTTGAAAGAAATTGCTTCCATTTTTCATAATCCTTTTGTAAAAGGAATAAATTATGTATATTTAATCCCATGGAATATAAAGATTTTAAAGCATGAAGACGTTCATAAAATGTTGAAATTCAGAATGCCGAAAAAATTCAAACATGCAGCTAAGATTGGAATATGTTTAAAATGTGTATAAACAGATGTATTGAATTTTGCAAATTATAAACTTTTTCAGAGGAAGTTTGAATATTTACATATATTTTATTTTTTTTAACAAATTATTTATTTATTTGAAAGAGAGAGGGAAAGAGTGGTTGGGGAGGGTCAGAGAGAGAATCTTAAGCAGACTCCACTCCCAGGGCTCAATCTCACAACCCTTAGATCACGAGCTGAGCTGAAATCAAGAGTCAAATGCTTAATTGACTGAGCCACCCAGGCGCCCCTCTATATTAATTTTAAAACAAATATAAAATATTTTCAGGGGCGCCTGGGTGGCTCAGTTTGTTAAATGTCTGACTTTGGCTCAGGTCATGATCTCCAGGTCCTGGATCAGACCCCACGTGGGGCTCCCTGCTCAACGAGGAGTCTACTAGTCTCTCTCCCTCTCTGCTCACTCATGCTTGTGCTCTCTCTCTCTTTCTCATAAATAAACGAATAAAAGAATAAATAAATAAATAAAATTTTTAAAAATATTTCAGTATCTAAATATAACTTATATGTTTCTTATTTTCTTAAAATAGGAGAAACATTTTTGAGAAATTTAAAGACAGAAATTTTAGATCAGGTCATTCCCATCTTTCCACTCTCTAGTAGCTTCTAATTGCACATGGAATAAAATCTCTTATCTCACTTTCTGAAGTCCTGAAAGTATTGGCCCTGCCAGCACGTCTGATTCAAAGTACTTCCTCCCCACTGCTATTTCTGTCCAAGCTCCAGCCTCACAAGCATCTTTTCTGTTCCTGGAGTGCCTGGGCTCTTACCTATTACCTCCCTTCCCACCAAGCTCATTTTGTTCTGAACATCTGTTAGTTGCTCTACCTGGGTACATTTCCCCAGTCTTCATGCCACAGTCAATGAAACTCTGGACTATTTTTGTTGGTACAATCATCACTAAATTTAGATTAGGCATTTATTGTCATGGTAACAGATAAACTGGATGGACTAACTTGGTAGAGTACCATCTGAAAATGGTTTCTCTTCCACTACTGATCTTCCAATCTGGCAGAATCTCCCTTTCTCCATCTCCTTGTTTTCTCAGGGTAGTTCCTAATGCTAGAGGAGTCTCGTTATCAGATCTTGAAAGAGGTACAATAACAACCAACGCTTTCATTTGAAACCCAATGAATATTTTTGGTGATCTTTCCTCCTGGCACTCCCTCCTTACCCTCAGGACATGTAGTAATTTTTCAGACTGTTTGTGAGGAAGAAAGCAGACATGACCTACTCTTTTCAAGCTCCTGCTCTAACTACTTCTCCTGCAGTCACTGCGTTAATA